CCCATTTGGGTCCACCTAATTGCTCCAGAGTTTCCAGGTGTCTGCAACATCTCTTGAATTCTGCAGCAGAGCCATAAGGGGCAGCATCCGCGCAACTTCCTCCTGCCCAGTTTCGCTTCTTCTCACTCTGCTTGGCCACCCACCTGTTGCAACCGAAGAGAATACCTGTAATTGTTTTTAGCGATGCATGTCTAAGTGCAGCTCTTTCTAAGTGGTTTACACAGTCAGCCTATTGCCCCAACAACCTGGGTCTATACATGGTTGCAAGCACAAGTAGGGGGAGGAAGATGTTAAATCTCCCCAGGGAACACACTGTTCAGAAAGATCATACTAATGTCATACTCAGACAGACACTTTCTTATATGCTACTAGGTGAAAACCTGGCCTTACCCATGTATTTATTTATGGGGGGGAAATGTCCGGATCAAACTTAATTTCTAATATTGGATTTTTCCCCTTACTAGAGGGAGGGCCCTTTTTAAGTACTGTGTAGCTGTTACCATGGCAACTCCACTGTGCTGTACAGTAGAAACCATTTTAAGGCACAACCGGGTGTATCTTAACAGAAGACACACACCCGAAGGGGTGTTAGGGGTGTCTTACGCCCACAATATTTGTTTCCAGAGAGTAAGAGATTGAGAGGAACACGGTCAGCCAAAGGGGTTTCTGTGGCTGAACCTGAGCACATAGAATAGAATAGAATAGCAGACTTGGAAGGGACCTTGAAGATCTTCTAGTCCAACCCACTGCTTAGACAGGAAAATCTACACCACTTCAGACAAATGGATATCCAACGTCTTCTTAAAAATGTCCAGTGTTGGAGCATTTAAAAGTTCTAGCATTCCCCCTGTTGCTTGACACCTTCTTGCCACTTTCTCCCAGCAATGGACCAATTGTTCCCTTGACTTTTTTCTTGTTCTTAACATGTTGGAAGAAGATCTCTTCACGAAGGAAGGTGAATCTATGTGTCAAAGGATAATGTTGCAGGATCCAATCTGGGTCGGTCGCCAGGACTAGACAGAGCTGACTTAATGAATGGGCCGGATGGCCTCTTGCTCTGTGTATGTTAACCCTTCAGTGTACCTTGTATCCTATAAATACAGGAACTGGGTGACTTACTGAGCATTATTGTGTTATTCAAGCTCCGTGTATTGTTCAAACATTCATCATGTTGATTAGTTGTTGCCGCACAGCATATATTGAATGTTTCAACACCAATTTTTTGGGAAGTGCCAATACAATAAATACATGTTTAATTTTCTTGACCATTTGCATTTTTATTCCTGTGTGTAGTTGTCATAGGGGGCCCAACCCACTGATTTTCCCAGGGCCCATAATGCTGTTAAGACAGCCCTGGGATCAGAGCTTTTGTCTTCCAAGCCTTCGAACTCATACTGGAACCCATCCTCGGGGAACTTCTCCTTCTAGGAATCTCCTCATTCCTAATCTATGACCTTAACCTCTACCCATGGTTAACCATG